TTGTAGCATGCAGCACATTTACCCAAGACCATCAAACTATTCCACTATTAGGGCAATCCCTAAGCACCGCACGTCTAAGTCCTGATCTTGCAGGTGAGTAGCATGTGCATGCATTCGCCCTTCTCGTATGCTGTCCTCATGGCCAAGTACAAACCGAGTGAAGCGCGACGATTGAATGAGACCATCAAACGTACACCAGCGACTTCGGAACTTGAGCGCAACATTACCCCGCAGCAAGACCCATCTTTCACTATCAATTTACTAGAGAACCGTCTCCAACTCAACCTGGTCTTTAATCCTTGGTATGCCAACTTAGGTAGGTCAGTACAGCCCCACAAAGGCCGGTCGTTATCGGCGAGTCGAGATTGGCCTATCTCTCGACGATCCCCCTCCAAGCCATGTTCTCCATACGGTTTCTTCCAAGCCGATAAACACATTCATCCGTCTGATAACACCGCGGTGGGTCACAGCCGGCCGCAGAAATGACATCGCATCGTGAGGCACGGCAGAGGATGGGAGATGGCCGATTACGTGAGGACGTCACGGATGAGAATGGCCGATAGCCAGGTAGGCGCTGGAGAGTGGCCGCCGCGACATACTCCGCTGGTGATACATATATGCTGCATCGCGAGACTTGATTGTTTACTACTTCGAATCTGCTACATCTTCTGTAATCAAATCAAGCTTATCGTTCTCCAAACATCGTCATCATGCCTGAAGTCTACGCCGCACCACCCGACTACGCCTTCCCACGTAACTTCAAGGGTTACGGTGAGAAGGGTCTACAGGGCTTGAAGTGGCCCAACAATGCCAAAATCGCAGTATCTTTCGTCATCAACTATGAAGAGGTGAGTTCATATACATTCCATCTCAAATGCACAACTAACAAGCTGTAGGGTGGTGAGCGCTCAGTCATGAAAGGCGACGGAGTATCCGAGATCAACCTCCGCGAATACCCAGCCCAACACAGAATCAACGAGCGCGACTACAGCGGCGAATCAGAATTCGAGTACGGCTCGCGCCGCGGCTGGTGGCGCATGTTCAAGCTCTTCAATGACTACAAGATGAAGTTTACCCTCTATGCAGTTGGCTCCGCTGTCGAAGAACAGCCAGAAGTCGTTACGCGATGTGTGGAAGAGGGCCACGATGTTGCTTCTCACGCCTACCGCTGGATCGATCATGCCAATCTTTCTGTTGAGGCCGAGAAACAGCATATCAGGGATGGTATCACGGCGCTGAAGAAGCTCTCCGGTTATGCACCAAAGGGATGGTACTATGGCCGTCCGTCACCACAGAGCAGAGCGCTCATTCCACTCGTGTACGAAGAGATGGGTGAGGAGCTGCTGTGGGCATCAGACGCCTACGCCGACGACCTGCCTTACTGGACCGACCTTCCCCAAGAGCGCAGCAGCGCCAATCCCAAGGGATGCTTGATGGTTCCCTACAGCTACGACTGCAACGACTTCAAGTTCCACTGCCAGGGAACTGGTTTCCGCAGTACGGCTGCGTTCTACGAGCACATGAAGAACTCTTTCGATGTGCTGTATGAGGAGGGCGAGGCCGGAGAGCCGAAGATGATGACCATTGGTCTGCATTGCCGTATCATCGGTAGGCCGGGAAGGTTCAAGGCGCTCCAGGACTTCGTCAAGTATATCTCGGAGAAGGAAGGTGTTTGGGTTGCGACTAGGACGCAAATAGCGGAGTCGTTCAGGGAGCAGTTCCCGTATAAGAAGGGTCAGCTCGCGTAGTTAGTCAATCGAATCTGTTTCAATGTTAAACTCGGGGTCATTTGCGCACATGAGACAACAGTGACTAGGATCTTTCGAACTAAAGCCATGACATCGCTTATCTATACTCTCCAAAGTTCCACTGACTGCCATCCATCATACCACGGTTATCCATCGACATAGCTGCATCTTGAATGGGGTCCACGCCGTAGAGACCAGATCCTTCATAAGCATTCCAGCTCATCTCATTCTGGCCTTGGCCAAAGCCATCGAACCTCATTGCTGCAGATGCGGCGTCATCGCTTACCATCTCATTCCACATCCGCCAACCCTGCCACCCACCTGGCGCCTCTTCGTCCACTTCCATGAACGCCTCCTTCACAGCGTCAGTAACCAGGTGTGACATGGTAGGCTTACTACCCATCGTTGAGTGCTGTGACGCCTGCTCGCGGCTATCTCGTCGGCTTCTTGGTGAAAGTCCTGCCATGGAAGGCTCCGCGTCCACGTCGAGCTGCAGCGGTCGTGAACCGTTGCTATGCATCATGGTAGTAGGCGCCGAGTTTACGATTGTCTTGAACAAACTTCCGGATAGCGCATCGAAGATATCGCGGTATTTGACAGCACCGGGCCACTTTTCACCGAAGATGGTCAGGATCTGAGAACAGGCCCGTGTCGCCTCGAGAACGTCGTATGAGAAAAGGGATCGATCTCGCCAGATGCAGTACACCAGTGTCAGGCCAGCTACAAAGCACGAATGTAGCGAGATCATCGTGTAGGTGAGCGTCCGATTCTGGCTTAGCCGCTTGTAGGCATTGCAGACACAAGCAGCAGAGCGTGCGCATGTGAGGAAACGTATGTCCGATGTGTCCAGTGTTGGGAGGAATACGGTGAAGAGGTAGAGCATCGCTTTATGATACTGAACGCCATAAAAGTCTCGGGCATCGAGATATGCGCTTTCGGGATCGTACATCCAAGTGATCTTGTTCCCATTCTTGGGTGTCTGTGGATATGTTCGTAGCCATTCATCCAGGTCGCTCCGGATTGTAGCCATCTTCCGGTCAAGTTTGGCCCGCTGTTCTGGCGTCCCGTTGAAGACATCTCTATCGACGCGAAAGACTGTCTTATGGATCCGCGACTGGATCTGATCAAGCTTGATAATGTGTATGAAAGGCTCGATGTTTGACCATTGGGGCCTGACCGAGTCTGGCTCTTCCGGATGCGTTAGTGTCCAGAACTCAGGACTAGTACTGGGAAACTTGAAGAGTCAGTTCACGTATCATAATCTGCCTGGATGACAAACCTCGACGTTGATATCTCGGTCAGCGATAGCAAAAGCTCTTCCAAGCACAATGCTAGTCACTCTGTCAAGGCAGTAACACGCCCAGAACGCACGTCGCCGCAGTTCAGCATCTCTTGCAAGCTCAGGGGAGCCTGTGACCTTCTTCTTCCTGTGTAAGCCCATCTCAATGCAGACAGAGGTCGCATATCGAATCTGAGACCAGGCGCCTGCACCATATGGAGATCTCTGACCATGAACTCCAAGAAGGATGAGAAACTGGACTGTCGCGAGGTTGTGCTGGTCAAGGATGTAGTCCATTGGCTCGGTGGCTGCGACAAGATGATGCTCAGAATCCACCCCACATGGCTTCCGCGTCAACGACAGGAATCGAGCAGTAATGGCATATATGAGATGGAAAATGCTACGTTCAATGATAGTCAGGGCACCTCGCACAAATTGCTTGTCGAAGAGCTTCGTGTAGACTACACGATCCAGCAATGGCCAGCGCGTGTGGATACGTTCGAAGAATACGTCAAACAGCATGCGTGCCTGTTGTCGGTCTGGGAAATCCGCAACGGGCTCATCGGAGTGAGTAGACTCGGGAGGAACAGGAGGCCGTGAAGTTCCGGTAGCCTGGCATGTTTGGTTCACTGGTAGAGCTGTTGCTCTCTTGCCAGAACTTCGGAAGATGGAGGACTGGATGATGCGAGCAATGGTAGCGCCGGAGCTAGAGCCGACATAGTAAGGCTCCGAGGTTGTATCTGTGGTACCAGATGCACATAAGGAGAGATACGCAACACCATCGACGAGTGAGGTGCGATCCTCACCCTCAAGATCTTCAGAGAAACAGTCATCTCGGGATTCGCGACGCGATGCACTGGACTGGGGGTGAAGAGCGAGCGCCGGCTCTTCAACGTTCATGGAAGATGTTCTTTGCAAAGTCTCTGGGCCGTTTTCATAATGGTCCTCTGCATGATCAGGAAGGCGGGCCTCCAGAAAAGCGATCCGCTCTTCTAGGGCGTTGATATAGCTGAGAAGTCAGGAAACAGTTCGCGCGCATGTCAATGGCCTTGGGAAGAACCTACACAGACTTGCCGCCGGGGTACTGAGGACGAATAGTCCTTTCATACGCACAGGCTACGCCAGCTCGCTGGCAAGATCTGCAGACTGGATGTGCACCGTCACACTACATGATTCTTAGCCAAGGTGCATGAAGCAACGTCCCACGTGACGTACACGCTGCTTTCTCCGTTTGCATCTTTTGCAGGCCAAGGCCACCCGAGATTTCCTAGTCGCAGGACCTGAGTATGAGGCGTTTGACTGAGCTTCCTTCGGAGAATTGGATGCGGGTACTGCGTCTGCGGCCGTTCCCACACCCCGACCGGAGGAGGGGCTTACGGGGCTCTCTGGGTAGGACTGCAACATGGCCTCGTCGTCAGGAGTATGGCGTTGATGCGACAGCCCTGCAGCTGTCGGAGCTGATTCATACCGCTTGGCTCCATATTTCCCACGTGCGATAGTCTCGTTGAGGCCCAGGTGGAATGTGTGAGCCGACGTGTGTCTTATCGCGAATTATCCATGATAGGCTAAGATGGCACGGGCCTCCAGTAGCTTTATCTCGGCTGCACCCATCCGGCGCCTGGAGACCCCAAAGATTGCGAAGGAACTACGCCATAACAAGCAACATATCGGAGTTCACATCCTCCTCCTATCTCCACCCCTGTTCTTTATCGCACCGCTCACGTTGATGTCAGGCTTGGGAATGACTGATGCGCGCATGGCAACATGGCACATCGGCTAGAAAGTGGCCGAAGAGGCTGCGCCAGAAGCCATGCCCATGGTCAATCACAGCCCGATATGCGTGCGATACGTGAAAGACTTGGAGTTGGCGTAACGTCCGATCGCCATATGAGACACCACAGTCCGCCGACGTGAAGAGGATTTGGAGGATTGACCACACCCGGCAGTCAACCAAACCATACCACCACAGCACCATGGGGAAAGTTCAACTTCCGACCAGGGACCAGATGGCGGCCCCCTTTCGCTCGAAAGAGGCCTTTGTCGACTTCATCAGGGCTCCCCAAGGCAATGACGGTCATGCCCCAATCGGGGACGAGAGATGGTCTAACAAAGATCTTGAGCCAACCCCAGTGGAACAGAGGACTTGGACCTGGTAAGGATCTTGACGACGCACATCTTTGAGCCTTTATTGACAAATCAAGGTTCAACCTTCCTCTATACTGGTTCTCGAACCAGTTTTCCCTCGTTGGTTGGAATACGGGCTCCGCTCTTGTCACAGTCGGTCTGGTAGGCTATTTCGAAACATGCATGTCGAATCCAGGAACTGATTGCATCAACAGACATGGCAACAATCCTTCGTGTCAGCCTGCATTGGATCCTTCCTCGCAGCAGTCGTAGTCGTCCTTATGGCTCGTCCAGGTGCCAAGTATCACATCGGATTCCCTGTGATTGCACGCTCAGTCATGGGCATGTACGGCTCCTACTTCTTCGTCTTCATCCGAGCGATCGTATGCATCATCTGGTACGGAATTCAGTCCTTCTACGCCGGTAACATCCTCTCGGTCATGCTCCGTTGCATCTTCGGCAGTTCCTGGCAAAACTTCACGAACACACTCTCGCCTACCGCAAGTGTCACCTCGAAGCAGCTTCTGGCTTTCTTCATGGCCTGGCTAATGGAGTTTCCGTTCATGTGGGTCCACCCCAGACACATCCATTACATCTTCACTGTGAAGGGGTTCATCATGCCAATCGCCGCCTTTGCCATCTTCGGATGGTGCATGGCCAACGGTGGTGGACTCGGCGCTATGGACCTTGCTTCCAGCGAAGGCGAGCTTGCCGCCTCAGTGACCCCTCTGGGATGGAGCATCATGGCCGGTATCAACACCATCTTCGGTTCTCTCTCGCCCATGTTGGTCAACCAGCCTGACCTTGCTCGCTACTGCAAGAAGCCTCGGGATGCTGGCGTGACTCAAGGTGTCAGCGTCTTCGTGTCCTCCATCATTGTCTTCTTCCTTGGCATGGCCTCAACCACTTCCATGCAGGCAGCATATGGTGTTGCCTACTGGAACATCTGGGATCTCTTCGAAGCCATCCTTGACCACCACTTCGGTGCCGGAGCGCGTGCGGGGATCTTCTTCGTTGCTTTGGCGTTCTACTTCGGTGTCTTCGCCACGAACTTTGGAGCCAACTCAATTCCGTTCGGAAGTGATATGACTGGCCTTTTCCCCAAGTGGCTCACCATTCGCCGTGGACAGGTGCTTTGCGCCATTCTTGGTGTCGTCGTACAACCGTGGGAACTGATGAAAAACGCAACGGCCTTCTTGAGGCAAGTTCCCCAATAGGCTTTCCACTCACCATGCTAACGATGAATTAGTTTCTTGGGTTCTTACAACATCTTCATGGCCCCTCTTTGCGCCGTCATCATTGTCGACTACTACATCGCGCGCAAAGGAAACATACACATACCATCGTGCTATGATGGCAAGAAGACGGGTCTCTACTGGTACTGGTCCGGTGTCAACTGGAGTGGAGTGGCAGCCTGGCTACTTGGTACAACTATGGGTATTCCTGGCCTTATTGGCCAGTACGAGCCACAGATCATTTCGGCGGCTGCGCAGAACATGTACCGCATGGGCTGGTTGCTAACCTTCTTCACCGCGGCGACGGTCTACTTCGTCATCACCTTCTTCGTCAAACCGCGTGTGTTCCCCGTTGGACGCGAGAGCACGCCCTTCCAACGGGAATGGCTAGCCAATGACGGCCGCGAGGGCTTCTTCGACGGAGACAGGGATGATGGTGTGATTTATGGCGCCTCAACGCCACCAATGACCGACGGAGGAGAAGATGTTGAGATCGGCGAGAAGTCACCAAAGGTCACCTTTTGAGCTCAGAGCGGCAGCCTAGATTGTAACAGAATCGATACCATGTACTCACATCATGTAATTGCAATACGATAGATTTGAACAACATCCTACTAAGAAACTACGACACTTGATTAGCCTTGTTATGACATCAAAAATTGAGACTCCTGATCAGGCGGCTGGACGTTTGAACTGCCCAGGTGCGATGTTGTTCACGTGTTTCCTAGTACCGACATGGACTGAACAGTTCCGATCGGAACCAGCATTCCGAAAAAGTGGGATGCCGTTATCGGCTCCAACTTATTAGTACAACCGGTATATCCTGGTTGGGCAAGTGTTTGGCTATCGCCTATGAGCGGGTCTGGACGGGACACGCAATTGCTCCCTATCACGATGCGGGCTTTTTGGGCCGATGGCATCGCTGACGCTGACAGGCCGCTGCCTTCGGCGTCTGGATGTGTCTCCAACCCTTGGACTCCAACGGCTTCAAAGACCACTTCTCCAATTCCTCTTCTTGACATTACAACCAACCTGGGAAAGCAAAACGAGAACACCTGCGACTATCTATACAGCAGCGATACTTACAATTACCAAATTATACGAAGCAATGGGCGTTGATCTGTATAAACTTACAGCCACCGAGATCTCGGCGAAGATCAAAGCAGGCGAAACCTCAGTCGAAGAATACGCAAAATCACTCCTCGGACGCATCGAAGCTCGTGACGAAGCTGTTCAAGCATGGGCATACCTGGACCCTGAGTACGTTATCAAGCAGGCGAAAGCACTTGATGCCATTCCACAGGCCGAGCGTGGTCCCCTCCACGGCGTGGCCATCGCCGTAAAAGATGTCATCTACACTAAGGGTGAGCTACCAATACCACCTCTTCATCTAACTCAACTAATCGTGTAGAAATGCCAACGCAATTCAACTCACCCATATATGCCAACGATGCGCCTCAAGTAGACGCTGGCTCCATAGCGATACTGCGCAAGAGCGGTGCACTCATCTTCGGCAAAACAACAACGACCGAGTTTGCTGCGACAACCACAGGCCCAAAGACACGAAACCCGTACGACTCAAAACGCACGCCTGGTGGCTCTTCATCCGGATCTGGTGCCGCAGTAGGCGATTTTCAAGCACCTATCGGTCTAGGAACCCAAACCGGTGGCAGCACCATCCGTCCTGGCTCGTACAATGGCATCTATGCCCTTAAGCCCACATGGAACTCTATCACTCGCGAAGGTCAAAAGATTTACTCTCTGATTCTGGACACGTTGGGTCTCTACGCGCGTAGCGTGGCTGATCTAGAACTCCTCGCCGATACATTCGCCATTCACGACGATGTGCCACCTCCAAAAGACTTCACAGTGAAGGGCGCGAAGTTTGCCCTTCTCAAAACTATGGTCTGGCCAAGCGTGGGTCCTGGCACCTCCGCCGCACTTGACAAAGCCGTCTCGCTACTTCGTGCGCATGGAGCCGAGGTTGAGGAAATAAGCTTACCAGATGACCTTAACGATCTTCCGGCGTGGCACGCGGCCGTACTCAACTCTGACGGCCGAACCGCGTTTCTGCCAGAATACACAGTGGCCAAGGATAAGATCTCGGAACAGCTGGTCGGCCACGTTGAGAACAGCGGGAAGATCTCGCGCAAAGCGCAGCTCGAAGCTTTCGACAAGATTGCGGCAGCGAGGCCGGTTGTGGATGAGATACTCGGCAGATATGCTGCGGTACTTACACCAAGTGTTCCGGATGAGGCGCCACTGGGTATTGAGAAGACGGGCAGTGCGGCGTTTTGTTTGATCTGGACGGTAAGTCACATCCGCGTATCCAGCTGGAGATAAAACCTGACTAATGCTTTCATAGGCACTGCACACACCAGTAGTCAACGTTCCAGGTTTCAAGGGCGAGAACGGAATGCCAATCGGAGTGTCGCTTGTTGCGCCTCGCTACCACGATAGACGGTTGCTCGCGGTCAGCAGCAAGGTCGGTGAAATCTTCGAAGCAGAAGGTGGATGGAAGCGTTCTGTGTAGCTCTATTGCAAATAAAGTTGAATGGATTGTATCAAAGCATCTGCCGTTGGTCGTCTGGTAAATTACCATTGGTTATGCGAGTATGCGTACTCTGGTTCTCTCGACCAAACTGTTCTACTTGACTCACAGTCAGGTTCGTTTATATCTCCAATGCACTCCCCAAACTCAACTATCACAACATATCTCGGCAATACCAATAACACGAAGAATACACTCTCACAACAACATCAAGATGACGTCACAACAGGTTATCGAAGGCAAAGCAAAAGCCAGAGCGAACGCGGAATTAGACCTGAAAATGTGTGCAAACAGCGATCTCCGAGTTCTGTTCCGCAGTTCACTTTCTATATACCTCAAAGGACCCCAGCTGCAACCTACACCGGAATGGTTTTGTGCGTACTACTTTCTGTTAGAGGTACAAAATCGGTCGTACCTTACAATTGAACAAGTCACGCTCAAGCTTAGAAGACAAAAGCAGTATGGCAAAGCTGAAGAGCTTGAAAAGGCCCTCTCACGCTACTCACGAGCTGCACATCGCGAAATTGTAGCGAGACTCTTTGTCTTGCCGCGCGAACTTCGCGACATGATCTATGATGAGCTCTGGGCCTTGGACTCATGCAAGGAAACACTCATGAACGGGCTTATTGCTGGAGACGACAGGAACAATCGACGTAAAGAGGCCTGGACTCAACGTTTCCCTGGGAAGCTTGACTGCTATCTCCCAAACTTGGCCAAAGAGTGGTTTGGGGGAAGGGAAGTGGCGACAGAGATGCTAGAGGCTTTTGGGAGAAGAGATGGGACTGATATTACTGCCCGAGGGTGTTCCGATCCTTGGTCTTCTTATCACGTGTCGTGGAAAAAGTTGCACGACCTGATCACAGTAAAGATGTTTCACTCCGACGTCACGCTATACGAGCTTCTGGGGAACACGGGTCTAGTCATCGTCTTCGACTGCATGGACGAGATCGACGGAAACGAGGGTCTAGAGCGGATAGGCATACCGGGCAACTTCAACGCAGAACTTCGCCACTGCATCGATGTGCTCTCATCTCTGCGCGACCAAAAGCCTCGCCCTATCACCTTCGGGTTCGAGGATGAGACGACAGGCGTACCCAGCAATGTCACCCATCTATTTCGCTCGCTGAGCGGCCCGTTCCAAGAACTCCGGCAGTTGGGGTTTGACATCAACATCAGATGTCAAACGAACGGCTACTTCCGCTACGTATGGGACATGTCAGGAACGTACAATACTCACAGCCCTCACACGGAAAATGTTGACAAGTGGACTCTGCGAGATTGGAGCCTGAACTTCACGCGAGTGAACGAACAATTCGAGGAGGCTCACTTGATGGGCGAGACCTTCGTGTTTAATCCAAATGGGCCGCTCCGGGGGAGCTTTCGCATCAAAAAGCATGTGTGGGAGGCCATGCGCAAGGAGCTTTATCGCGCGTATCCGGAAATCGACAGTGTGGTGAAGTGGACGAAGAACGAGAGAGGTGAGATATGGATGGACTGTGGGTGTGTGAAGGACAAGCATACTTGCTGCCCTTACTATCTGTGCTACAAGCACGGTGGATGGGATGAAATATCAGATGGTAGGTGGAACACTTCTTGCTACATTTGCAAAGGCCTGGTAGCGCCGGCGTTGTAGCGACAACTAAGGTTGGTTCGAACGAGGCAGAAGGAGAATTTGGCAACAAGCAAATCTGCGGTTCTTCGGATGAAGAACGCATCAAGTATTCCAATTGAGTGCCGCGTCTCAGCAAACAATCAGGATGGTTTCAGCAGTACGATCCAACTACATTAAAACCACTCACCACGTTCAAGGAAAGAGCTAAACACCCTGCAGTCTATGTTGATATGGGGGCGATCGTTAGCAACCTTTCAAATGTAAAATTTTGAGTGATTTGCTTCGTTTTCCTGCTATAAGGGGAAGTTTTCAATTTAGCTCTAGTATGAGATACCGTCATGCAACTGATCTTCATTGCATCCTAACCACATGATGAACATCTTTCTGCCGTTTGCCCACGTGCCTGTTCAGATATCAGATACTACACAGCCCTCGCGCTCTCTGAGAACTCTTTCGTGAAGTATGACCGGAGTCAATGCATACGCAGATCTCACTTCAACACTCTTTCCAATATTTGAGATGCTCCCCTTGAGTCCCCTCACATACCTCGACTTCTTTGCCCGGGAGGTATGCCTCCACCATCACCTTCACCAAGGCCAACTCGGCTGCCTTCCCAGCAGGATGCATACTACTCAACATATGGAGTGTGATCTTGACTTTTTGGAGGGCTCTGAGCGTATTGGCACGCAAGAAGCGGGCGCAAGCGTTCTCAGGGAGTGCCATTCTCATCTGTGACGCGCGAGCCCCAAAATGAATCGTGTGTACGTGTTGAAGTCTCAACGTCCTCAGATAGCGCCTAATATCGTTGATGGAAACGAAACAAAAGGGGATGGTGGTGTACGCGATCATGGCTGTCTCGACGTAGACTTGGCGACAGACACGGAGTAGATTCCAGCGCGCGCGATGTTTTCCGGGTTTCTCCATCGGCCAATATTTCGATGGCATCTTGACTAGTGATCCGCCGAGCGCGAGGCTGAAGATTCGGTTGCGAATCTCAGCAGGTAGGCGAAGGAGGGGAGAATCTCGTGCATTGCTGTTTGCCCTGGGTGGAAGGTCAGTGCCGTTGATACATGACTACAAATGGGATGTTTCTTACAGCTCGACCTCCGATCCGATGGGCTCGACATTGAGGAGACCGCTTTTGTGTTTGCGATAACCGCGTCGGCCACGGACTGATTTCTTGGGCTTGTCATCCAGACCATGACGATGAGCGACTTTTTGAGATCGTTGCGGCGGCATCTTGCGTTACTTGAACCGTTGATGTGTTGAATATTTCGACTTGTGGCGGGGAAGTTACCAGTGCGAAAGTGGAGGTGAGAAGGTCAAGGCAAACATGACAGAGGAGGAAAGTGCGATGAAAGCACGGGCCCTGTGAGCTTCCGTGTGCAAGAGTGAAGGTGAGAGTCTCGGAAAGAAGGAAAGCGTTATCAACGAGGAGCGCATACGAACGCGGCTATCCATCTAAGAGGATGACGTATCGTGAACTTAGGCATGTATTCCTTTCGCTCGTGCAAGCCTGAAGGTTCTATCCACCGACCATGGTGTGAAGATACATTTTCAAGCATTCAAGAGTAGAGACTGGTCCCAGATGTATTATCATATGCATGGGTTCACATTTGAACTGACTTCAAGATAGCTGACGGGTTTGTAAAATGTCGAAGGCGAGATGTTGGAAGCGTGGAAGGTGCATCTCTGGAGAAGGAACGGGCGGATTACATAATGCGGCGGTCGGAGATGGCTGCCAGATTCGCCGATGACTCTGGAGCTTCGCGTGTCCGACATCATCATCGCTTGCACCCAATCTCCCCATAATGGCGTCGCGCACACGGCTGGCAGCCACTACGGCTTCCGGAATACTGCGAAGCTCAAGACCACTCGCAACCTCAAGGATATCGCCACTCTCTGCTGCTTTGGCAACATCCTCCGCCCGCAGCTTCTCGCAGCTCAACTCGCATTCCGCCCCAGACCCGACCAACATCTTTGCCTTCCAAACTGGCTCTAAGTCGGGTGGCGCTCCTTCGTACTTCTCAACACAGAACCGTCGGCCTGCAAATACAATCATCCGATTTGTGCCACAGCAAACAGCATGGATTGTAGAGCGCATGGGAAAGTTCAACCGCATACTGGAGCCTGGTCTTGCCATCTTGGTACCCTTCATTGATAGGATAGCCTACGTCAAGAGTCTCAAGGAAAACGCCCTCGAAATTCCCAGCCAGAGTGCCATCACCGCGGACAATGTCACACTGGAGCTGGATGGTGTCCTGTACACCAGGGTCTTTGACGCATACAAGGCGAGGTGAGCATGTCGTAAATTCAGATGTCGCGACGATGCTGACAACCCATAGTTACGGTGTAGAAGACGCAGAGTACGCCATCTCTCAACTGGCACAAACCACGATGCGCTCCGAGATCGGTCAACTCTCCCTCGACCACGTCCTCAAAGAACGCGCCAACCTGAACGCCAACATCACCGCTGCGATCAACGAGGCAGCACAAGACTGGGGTGTCACCTGCCTGCGATACGAGATCCGTGACATCCACGCACCCGAACCTGTCGTCGAAGCCATGCACCGCCAAGTCACCGCCGAACGGTCCAAGCGAGCTGAGATTCTGGAATCAGAAGGTCAGAGACAATCTGCTATCAACATCGCTGAGGGAAAGAAGCAGTCGGTCATCCTGGCTTCCGAGGCCTTGAGGGCTGAGCAGATCAACATGGCAAACGGAGAGGCTGAGGCTATCTTGCTCAAGGCCACTGCGACTGCCAACGGAATCGACGCAGTTGCGCGATCCATCTCTCAAGGTGGCGGCGCAGCACAGAACGCCATCTCGCTTTCCGTTGCTGAGAAGTACGTGGACGCATTTGGAAACTTGGCTAAGGAGGGCACAAGCATTGTCGTTCCCGGCAACGTCGGCGATATGAGCGGCATGATCGCAAGTGCCATGGCAGTATACGGCAACGTCAATGCTTCTCAGGCAAAGGCGCAAGCATCAAAGATGGTCGAGGGCGGAAGCAGCAAGAAAGTTCAAGAGCTCCAAAGTAAGCTGAACGATGCTGAGAGCGGATCCAACCAGATGCACAACGAGATCAACAGAGTCATGGACGAGAGGCTGAGCAAGAGGTAGTCAGCGACTTTGTATGAGAGACGATGGGATAGGAACGGGATACGACTGTACATTATACCACGCTGTATAAATAGCAACGAGCTGCAAGCGACCGCATCGGGGTTATTGGATATGGGATACCACCCAAAAGCAAGCATCATTCGCGGAGTCTTCTCTCTTCTTCCACTTTGGAACTCCACTTTTCGCATGTCTATAGGGAATAGCGAACATAACTACACTTTCACCTCCAACCTCAACTTCTAAGTTACGCCAACCGTTCCACAGCCTCAGCAGCCAAAACCGCAATCTGCTTCCCATCCTCCCAAATCCAATCATGCCCACCCTTCAGATCCCGTACATTAACCACTCTCCTCCCTTCCTCTTTAACCTCATCCTCATCATCCCCCACCTCCATAACAATATTCCACCCCTCCCTATCCAGCGTAACACACATGACATCCCTCTGCGCCCTCTCCACAAGCTCATCCTCATAGCTATGACAAAGCATCAACAGCTTCCCCTCAGGCCACTGCTCCTTATTATATTTCCCCGCAACCGGCGACACAGCCTGCCACTCAATGTACCCTGACCTCTCACCAAAAGCGCCCCTCACAAACTCCTTGTAAATCTTCGAAATGTATTCTGGTGTCGTGGGTGGGAGGTGGTTCCGTATCATGAGCGGCAGACTGTATATGCCTGATATCAAGACCATGGCTTCAGGGAGAGGCGTGGGTATGAGGTCGGGTGTAAGTCCTATACCGGAAACGAGTTGGCACAGCAGGGTTGCTCCGCAGGAATGACCTATTCCTATCCATCTCTTCACCCCGTATGCGCGCTGGAGGTACTGGATTCCGCGGGCGACATCGCGGATGTGTTGCGGGTGTCTGGCTGAGCGCTCTGGGTCGTCGGGCGCACTTGGTTGCGTCGCGTGGTCGGGGTATGGCGAGAGTCTGTAATTAAGACTTGCGATTCCGCCGACTTTCCCTAGAGTAGAGGCGTGCGAAGCGGCGAGGTGTGTGATTGTGGGTGTGAAGCTAGGGGCTTCGATGAGGGGGTCGCGCCAGGCGCCGCCGTGGATGTAGATTAGCCATGGCGCATCGTTGTTGGGTTTAGGTGTGGCTTCCTGGGGTTCGGGGAGCCAGATGTCCAGCGTTTGGAGGCGACTTGGGGGATCGCTGTAGGGGATTGAAGGGATGTGTCTGGGGAATGGGGTGGCTGTCATGTTTTAGTTTGATTGGGGAGTGGTTGTTTGGCGGGGTGTGCAGGTGCCAAACTTTGAGGTGTGCCGAGGTCGGTCACTCTTTTGGGTTCCTGGATCAATGAACCTTGTGTGTTCAAGCAAAAACTCTGAAAATCTGACAAGATATCACAAAGCATGGAAGAAGTGTTTTGAGTATGAATGTTTGATATATTTTCCCATCCAGTACGCAAAAAAGGGTACTATCAACCTCATGACCATTGGTTTCATCCAAGCCATGACTAAACTAAACAGACATTATTCCCGTCAAAGACACATGCCAGTGTCGACGCCCATGGTATTGCGATGCAGGTGTGTAAAGCAATGCTGATGCAAAACCCAAGGTATCTCAAGGACCGCTATCCTCATAAAAATAAACTCTCGAAGCTAAAACGACAAAACAATTGGTGGGGGGAGCGTTTACAAGAACGCGGCCATGAAGGCACCGAAGCCAACGATGCTACCAGCGGCAGCCTTGACGTTGACGGCAGCACCGGTGGCGTCAGCACCGTCGGCGCCGGTGCCAGTGGCATCAGCATCAGTGCCAGTAGCGTCGGCACCGGTACCAGATGCGTCGCTGCCGCTGCCGGTAGCATCAGCATCGGAAGCAGTGGGCGAGGCAACAAGAGCGACAGTGGTGCTGTTGTTGGCGCTGACGGTAACAGTGCGGGTGGAGTTGACCATGGAGCCAGTGCCAGTTCCAGCAAGAGTAAGAGTGTGGACACCAGGGCCGACGGCAGGGATGTCAGCGGGTACTGGCTGAGTGGTAACGGCAGCGGG